TGGTTGGCTAATATTTTCATCAGAGCCTCACTTAAGCAAATTAAAAATTCAATGTTAAAATAAATAACCTATCCTATCAACTTTCAGACATGAACTTATAAAATCTATTTTATTTACAACAGAAGGTGCAGCATCATTTGTAACATTTATCATAGGTAATGTCTTTGTAATTAAAGGTAATTAATTACAAACCATATATATATATATATATATCATTTCACCTCAAGCAAGCTGAAAATGCCACTAGTACACAGGGGGTTACAGTGAGTGAAAATGAAAGAAAAGACCTAGAATAGGGAGGATTGAGGAAAGAACAAAAAAATGAACAGGATTCAAGAAGATAAAAGATGGCAATTGATGTTGCATTTAAATTTTTGTACAGGTGGGAAGTGTGAGAAAAGAAAATGCTGGAGTAGAAGTGGTGGTTGCATTTAGGTATTTCAACAATAAAAGGGTGGGACCTAGATGCTAATCTAGTAGCACACTTAAATTCATATACTTTGGAGTACCAGGGAAAAAAAAAAAGGTCAGAATAATAATTGCCAGAGGGAAATCATGTCACAACAGTGAGAAAGAGACTGAAGACAAGATGCCTGATCAGGATCGATTACATTAAAGATGTTTCTTTTGGATTTTGTCAAGAATCTCATGATGTATAGCAAGAGCATCAGACCAGATATGGCAACAGTATTCATTGCACAGACAAATGGTAGATTTGTAAATGTGCAAGATGGATTCTGGCATGATACAGGGACCCACTAAGCAAAAAAATAATTATGTTCAGTGCTGGAAAAATAACTAACAATTTATACCAGCAACCAAAATACTAATTAGCTCTATGAATTTTAGTGGAAATACTATATACTTTCAATATTACAGACATTTAAAATTTATAAACAACTTTTCTTTGCAATTTTTCTCTGTTGATTAACAGTCCAATCTTTCCAGTTTTCACAGGCTATATAATGTCCTAATTACCAAAAAAACTTCCATGTTGTTGTATTTCATACAGAAAAATCTATACTTAGCATAATATTTAGTCTTACTTTTTTTTTTTCTTCTATTCACAATTCTGTAAGAAATTAATAATACAAAGTAATATGTTGAAAATTAAACCAAGATTATTATTATTCTTTTGCCCTTAACCCGAGGAGGAGAGGTTGGAGTGACAACATGCTGAGCTTCCCACCATTCTCCAACAACTGTCACAGTTGTGTGCCAAAGTGAATGGTTTCTTTGTGTGTTCATCATGTAGTATGTCTTGGGCCTTTTAACCTGGAGGAGCCCATCCCTTCCCAGATTAGACCACAACCAATATGCTCCAACTAGGTGGCCATTGTAGTTTATCTGAGAAACTCTTCTCAGTGACAAGAGTCAAGGACGTCCTTCGCCCAGTGGTGCTGTATTAACACCACCCCTTCACGGGAGTTTAGCCAGACTACTGCACATATCATTTGATTATAGTGGTGAAGGCTTGTGTAGAACCATCTACACTTTTAGGAAGAGCCAAATACAGAGAACTGGTGCACAGTATGCTACAAGGTCCCTAAACAAGTCTCCACTGGTTATGAATTCAGTTGTCCTTCTCCTTGAATGTTTACCATCTAAGGCTATAGGACCCAGTCTGTCCTACTATTTACCCATAGCTGAGGGGAGAATAGATGGATTCATACCTTTCCCAAGGGTATTAGCATGTAAGCGAATGTAATGAATTCAAACTCTGCTCTCCGATTACTCAATCAGAGTTGCTATCCATTACTCCACTGTGCTTCCATTATATAAAATAATATAGAAATATATAATCTACATTATATAAAATTATATAGAATTATAAAATATACTGCAAAATATATATGAAATACTCTACATTATATACAAAATTATAAATGCGGACACTGATGTCAACACCTAGCAGCAACAGTCTATTTCATGTTTAAACACAATTGTCAGGCCATGTGTGTTGTGTTTTGGCTTAACTATATATGCTGATCAGTGATGCATATCTGGAGGCTATTGAGTGAAAATAATTGTTGATCCAAATGCAGTTTTTTTTTTTTGGTTTTTTTTGTAGTGTTAAATTTATTTTTGATTGCTTTGTTATTTGTTGTTGATTGATGTTATTACATTTACTTGTGTTTATGCATGCATTCATAGTTTATTAATTTGTTTATTATTTATTTAATTTGTTTATTCATTGATTTGGATTAATTTATTATGTATTTATTTTTATTACTTAATTTATTTATTATTTATTTAATTTTTAAGTTTTTATTCTTTTTTTATAGTTTTCAATTTTTAAATAACAGTAAAAATTTGTTTGTGTGTCTGTATTTTGAGATGAGTTCTGATAGTTTATTTAGCAATTTGTGTTGGTTTAGGAAGGTAATTATAGCTATTTTACAGTTTGTTTTTTTTATTCATTGCTGATATTGTTTTCCTTATTGTCCATGATATTTTCGGTATGATTTGGTTTTTGTATGTAATTTCCCTTACATGCTTAGAATGCATTGTGCTGTTCGCATATTTATTATTTGTAAAGGATGTTTTATGTGCATAGTTTTTTTTTTGTTTCCAGTGTCCTTCAATTACTCCTATATATATATTTTTTCTTCATTATCTGCTGATTTTACAGTGGTTTCATATATTCCATTGTTCTGTAGGCAATTTCCATTTAAGGGGCATTTATTCTTTGCTTTGCAGTTACACATTGTGTGGGTGATTTGCTTGTTGTTTTTTTTTTTGTGACTTAAACATAATGCATCATTGATCAGCATAATCACGCCAAAACATGATGCACATGTACATAAAAATTTATATAGAATTATAAAATATGCTGCATTATAAATAATAAAAAAAAATTATAAAAAAAAAAATAATTGCCTCATACAAGATTCTCCTTTAGTGAAGATACAGACGTCCATTCTCAAAAATCATAATAAAATAAATCATATTTTCAAAATCTTTCTGATGATAAGATTAATAATTACTGATGACAACAGAAACGTTTATCACAAATATAATAACATGCAATAAGTGTATTTACATTATTTACATCATTCTGACTGTTAGCCTCATTTTCATTGCATTATTCCCAATGTTTTGGCCATTGTACACTCTGGCCTTTTTCAGGTGACTGGAATTTCGAACCAAACCCTTTACTTCATCCACTGGGGTAGATTGTTCTAGTTCCATGTGCTTCTAGATGCCTCAGTTATTTCCAATTACCTGAAGAAAGCCAGAGCATACAAAGGCCGAAACGTAGTGAATATGGCAATGAAGATGAGGAGATAACAGTCCAAATAATGTAAATAATCATAATACCTCATCTCAAAGATATAGACAGACATGAAAGAAGTGGTTATTTATTCACTAAGAAATATCAATACAGCTAACAATTGTTGGGCTTCTCCAAATGCCAAAAAAAAAAAAAAAAAAAAAAACGTTCATTTAGTTGTACCAACGGGTTTTAAGAAAATATCATTAATATACCTTAACTACTTCTGTCTGCTTTCTCCTAATCTCAAACAACAAGCTACAGTTCCATAGCCGCCAAAACAGATCTTATCTCACATTGTTTAGTGGGTGTAACTCTTTTTTGTTTTTTATTTTTAACTATTATAGAATGCGTTTTTTTTTTGTTTCGTTTTTTTTTAGGGGACAATGGAATAAATATTTCTTCATAGAAATTCCAAAAATTATTTCAGAAACATGTACCATTTACAATTCTCAAAAGACTGAACAGTTAAATCAACTGTGTTATGTCACCTGAGAGCTATCAGAGAAATTATTAATTAAAATATTATTCTATGAGCTGTATCCCTTCAGGATGAGAGCGATCATGACACTCCATAACTTCCTGTCATTGTAGTTCTTTAAGTTAATAATCTTAATGAGATGGAATCATGAGTGAAACTGATACCTTACCAAATGTTTTGATTATATATATATATATATATATATATATATATATATATATATATATATATATATATATAAAAATGAACATGCATACACATGTGCTGAAAGTTTTCAGCCCATCACACTTCCCAAAATCGGTATTTTAATAACAAAACATCAGAATATTAATTTAGGAGAAGTGGGTCAAGCCAAAAAATTTTTCAGTAACACCTCATATATACAGTGAATGTACAAAAAGTAGGTATACATTTGTGAATCTGAGAAATGTTTACTACAGAAGTCTTTATAATTCATATCTTTTATTATTCCACTTTGCTTCTTTATGATTTGTTTCTAATAAATTTTTATAATTATGACCAGTAAATAAATGACCAATGAATGTATATAATCAAACAACAGTGGAAGACAAAAATATTGTCTACCTACTTTTGCAAACCCTGATATTAATCCAACAGATTCGATCACTTTAAACATTATTTTTAATGAATGCCCATATTTGAGTAGACTCTTGTTTATTCATTAAACAGACAAAAATAAATTAATATGCTGTTTAATAATTAAATGCAGTGTCTACTCAGATATGGGTATCCACTAAAAATAATATTTAAAGTGATAATATATATATATATTTCTCAGAGTTAACCTGTAGGAAAGACAATGTTTTATAAATATAAATGACAATAGGAAAACTGTAATAGTTGCCATCGCATTTCGTCCAAACAAAACAATTTAAACAAAATAACTAATAATAACAAAAACAAAATGTCCTTAGCAACTGGAAGAATTCAGAGAATGCTATTTTCATACTGTTAACTGTAGTTTTTGTTATTATTAATTACTTTGTTTAAATAAATTCATTTCGTTTTTTGCCTCCACATTGGACGAAACGCGTCGGCAACTATTACAGTTTTCCTATTGTCATTTATATTTATAAATATATATGACCATCTTCTTTTATATATCAAAATAGATACATTTACTCAAACACGCACATGTATTTTTGGGGGTTTTTTTTTGGAGTTTTTTTGTGAATTAGACAGATTGCATATTTCAAGTGCTCAACAAACAACACTGAAGGGAAATTACCAAGTAAGCCTGGCCATATCTTTTTGTAAAAGTGGTGTTAAGTTGCTTTTCATCTCTGATCTACAAAAGTAAAAATAGCAAATGATTCAAAATGTACAACACATCAATAAAAAAAATACACAAATAGTAAAACTAACAATTGCAATACATACAAAAATAATAAGAAAATTATCATAGTTATTACACAGGCCAACATGCTCCTCCCTGAAAAGAAATTATATGCTGTTTAAAAAATCTGTATATATATATATATATATATATATAATAGAAACGAACACAATGGTAAAGAGTGTAAATATTGATATACATACATGATTCAATCAAATCATAAACAAATTTATATTTCAAAATGTAACAATCATCTTCTATGTACCATGATCTTTCAAGAGGTTAGTGATCATAGTCCTCCACAATTTCCTGTTCTTTGTAGCTCTTAATAAATTTTGTCTTTTTGTGATCACTCCTAAACCCTATTCTTCTATCCATTTACTCAAACTACCTAGGTAGGTTATGTGCTGCTTTCATCTGTTCCTCTTGCCTTCAGTGTCCTGTGAGTATCAAATTTTCCAAGCCATCTTTCCTCATTATGTGCCCTAGAAATTTCAACTACCTCTGATATTAAGTGTGATTTTTCTTTATATTTTCTTTAAAACTTTGGCGTTTCTCACATGTTCAATCCATGGTATTCTCAGCATCCTTTCTGTAGAACCGCATATCTGTTGCTTCAAGTCTCTTCTTTATCTTTGAGGAAATTGTCCAGCCTTCACTGTCAGATAGGAGGAATGAAATGACATAACAGTTCAGTAGGGATTTCTTAGTTTCTAACAAAACCTTCCAGTTTCTTAATAATTTAATTAGTTTTTAGTAGGCATCTTTCGTTATTCCAATGCACTTTTGGATTTCGGTGCTTTATTGAAACACTTCCCAGATATTTAAATTGTTGTACTTGATTTTGGTATCTCCAATTTGTAATTTGAATGTTAGGCTGTTCCTTTTGCTGACAGCCATGCATTTTATCTTCTCACAAATTATGTTTAGTCTTTTCTTCTCCCTTTCCTTCACTACCTTCTGCAGGAGTTCTTGTTTCTGTTTTGTGTCAGCTATCAATACTATGTCATCTGCATATGCTGTTAAGATTGAAGCCGCCAATAATATATCTTGATAAGACTTCATATTCTCTCAGAAATGACTCACTGTATAGGTTGAATAAGTTTGGTGAGAAGACAAATCCATGTTTTATAACCCATGAGGTAGAAATTCTAAACTATATTTATTACTCTAATTTTCTGTATAATATTTCTGATAGAGTATGATAGAATGATCTTTAATTGCTAGATTTCAAATTGAGCAATAGGTAAGGAATCGAGAGAAATCTTATCTATGACATCTAGAATTTACCAGCTTCAAATCTGTTCATCTATTAAGAGATTTAAGAAACTTTCACCAACTACTGCCAGTATATAAAATATTACTACTATTAATATGGTAATGGTAGTATTAGCTGTTTCTCTATAAGGACACTGTTGTGGATTCCGAGATGAATTCAGTCTCCAAGGAATGACAAACGCAATAATTAAATATAAGAAATAAAATGTATTTACATAATCATACAAAGAGTAATACTGTTAGTAAATCCAGGAACGAAGTTAGTAGCAAATACAGATAGATATATACAGTCTCAAAGTAGGACTTCCTTAGAGTCTACGTGCTTGTAACTGACTTCTACAAGAGGTTACCTCACACTATCTCCGTTCGTATATTCTCTCTCTCTCCGTATATCCTCTCTCACTGACTGTCTCACTCTGGGTATTTAACGACAACACTCCAAGTAATACTGGTAGAGTCCACTTATATGAAAAGGGGAGGATCCCATAACACCCCCCTCCTTAGATCTCTTTTTGGGGGGAGTTAGTATTTTTGTCTCTTATGGTTGATGATCTAGATGCGTGTGCAACGGGTTTGTTTGTACCATTCTGCATCTTGTGTCAATGTTAACTCTGAAGTTAATTTTTGTATTATTTCCTTGAATGCTTTTTTTACTGTCCAATTCCAATTATGCTCCTTTTTTAGTAACTCATTTAGTGGAGCCCTCAGTTTATGCATATTATCAATAAATTCGCCATAGTAATTAGCTAGGCCCAGGAAACTTTGCAGTTCTGCAATATTTTTTGGTTCCGGCATATTTTTAATTGCCGATGCCCTCTCTGGGTCTGGTTTCCTGCCATTTTCATTTATTATCTGACCTAAATATTTAATTTCATTTAGGAAAAAAAAAAATCACACTTTTCTCCTTTTACTTTGAAGCCGAAGTCCTGAAGTCTTCTAAAAACTTTTTTTATGTGTGATGTGTGCTCTTCAACATTGTCGCTCTTAATTAGAATATCATCCAGATAAGCGGTCATGAAATTCTGGCCCGTGAGCATTGTGCCCATCGTTTGATGAAAAATTGCAGGTGCAACTTTTACTCCGAATGGTAGTCTGTTGAATTTGTACAACCCTTTGTGCGTATTAATGCAAAGGATTTTCGTACTCTCTTCTTGTACTGGGATTTGTAGATAAGCCTCACTAAGATCTATTTTTGAAAATATCTTACCGCCGTTGAGCTTTATAAATATCTTCTCTGTGCTCAGTAGTGGGTAATTGTGGTCTTTTATTACTTTGTTGAGTCTCATCAAAAAATCTGTGCATACGCGAATTTCTCCTAACTTCTTTTTTACATAAACCACCGGCGCTGCCCACACGCTAAACTCTGTTTTTGATAGAATCCGATTTTGTTCAAGTCTCTCCAATTCTTTGTCTATTTTTTCTATAGTGGCGAACGGTACATTTCGCTTCTTTTTAAAAATTGGTCTTTTAATTCTGTTTTGGCCTTGAATTTGTTGCATCATCCCAACCCGCTTGAAAATACCTCAGGAAATTGATTATATAATTCCTCCTTCAATTTTATAGTATCTGATGGTTCCACCTTTAACTTTTTGCAAAACGAGTTGATAGGTAGGTCTCAAACGTTGAATTTCTGCATCCAGTCGATACCTACTAAATTTTCAGTATCTTTCATGACGTATATTTTAAGTTTTTTTGCTTTGCCATGAAATTTAACATTCACGATTATTTCTCCCTCAAATTTTATTCGTTTGCCTGTAACCGATTTGGCAATTTTTTGAGTGTGTAACATGGTAGGTCTGTTGAGTTTTTCCATGTCTGTAAGTTGATTATCGTGAGGTCGGAACCCGAATCCAGTTGTAATTTAATCTTTTTATTTAAAATTTCCAGTTCAGCATATTTCCTTACATTGGTGTTGTCATCGTTATGCATCCTTGTGACTCTTATTCTATTAGTATCTTTTCTATTTCTACATTGGGATGCCTTGTGGCCTTTTTTTCCACATTCAAGACAGTTTTTATATCTGAAGCAGCAATCCTTGTTCCAATGTAATCCTCCACATCGATAACATGCTGATGGAGGGGGCTTATATTTGTTTTGATATTCATCATAATTTGTCCTGTATGTTGTACTTTTCCTCTTATAAAATTTTCTTTTTCTTTCCGGGGAGGGTGAGAATCTTTTTTCATTGTCATAAAATTTTAGTTTTCTTTCCGGGGAGGGTGAAGAACGTAGACTTTTGTTTAACTTACGTATATGAGAAACAGCTGATTCTTCAATGTCCTTTGCGTATTTCTTTATGCTTAAACATCTCTGGCAATCTTCCGATAATTGCTGTAATGTTAGACCCGGTTCATTTTGTAATTTTGCAAGCATTCTTCTACGCATTTCGCTATCTTTTGTAGAAACTAACCCTTGAACAAAAATGAGACATTTGAAATTGTCCGGGGTTAATTCCGCTATTTTGAAGTCGTCACAATGTTTATTTACAATTGCAGCAAACGTGGAATAATCCTCATTATCGCCCTTTACCAGGTTAAGGCATTTCCACCTCCTATGGAAGAGTGATGTTTTGGGGCTGAAGAGTTCTTTAAGACATGTCACTGCTTCGTCAAATGTTAATTGCTCGTCTTTTTGGCAAGATATAATCCACAAACTTTGTATATTCTTCAGTTCCTAATTTTCTAAGCAATAGACGTAGCTTTTTTGCTTCTGTCCAATTTTGACAGTCTATGTTAAAGATGTCTTCATGTCTTCTGAAGTAATCTCCAAAATTTTTGTCCTCATCTAGAGAATATTTGAAAATCTCTATGGTATTCCACATTGCGTCTTGCAAAAATGTTGCTTCTTTTTTCAATATCTAATTGCTTGTTGCCTGCTACTTTAAATATTAGTTCCTAGACCTCTGTTTGTCTATCTTGATTTTCCTTTTGCGTTTGTAATAATTGCTTTTGCCATTTTTCTTGTAGCTGTAACATTTTGGTATTTTTGCATTTGTAATTGTTGCTCATTTTGGTGTTTTATCAGTTCTACCAACATATTTTTAAAATCTTCCATGATAACTCAATTTTATGTATTTTTACTCCTCGAAATTGTTTGTCGCTAATTTGTTGTTGGACGACGAGGGAAGGATTTTTCTATTTCTTTTTTTCATGTGAGTTCGAATTGCTCGAAGCCAATTTGCTTGTTGGACGACGAGGGAAGATGTTTCTTTTGTTGATTTTTTCTTTTCCGCTTGGGTTCGAATCTTCATCGCCAAGTTGTTTGTTGGACGACATTGCAATCCAGGAACAAGGTTAGTAGCAAATACAGATAGATATATACAGTCTCAAAGTAGGACTTCCTTAGAGTCTACGTGCTTGTAACTGACTTCTACAAGAGGTTACCTCACACTATCTCCGTTCATATATTCTCTCTCTCCATATATCCTCTCTCACTGACTGTCTCACTCTGGGTATTTAACGGCAGCACTCCAAGTAATACTGGTAGAGTCCACTTATATGAAAAGGGGAGGACCCCATAACAGAATCATTTGGCATTCATTGACTGATCAGCCAGTACTGATTTCAGTTGAAGTTTATACAATATTTCTTGTAAAATATTTTTTCAGAAAAACGTTTTTCCAGTCCAGTAGCTGTTATCACCCTTTCCAGTATTGATGGGGGTTTCCTTCCTAA